CTCTCTCTCTCTCTCTCTCTCTCTCTCTCTCTCTCTCTCTCTCTCTCTCTCTTTCTCCTTTTACTACCATTCATTACCTAAGCTCTCCTTTCCTCACTACCCTTGAGTAGCATAAACAACAGCAGTTATTTTGATAATTACTGCATTGCACTGTCTTGCGGTTCCTGTTTATCAGTTCCTTCTCTGTTGCCACTGTTCGTCTCCTCTTTTTTTTCTTAATTTCCGAAATGATTTTTTTTTCGTCATGATGAATATTTTTTTTTATTGTAAATTCTGTCTATTTCTTTTCGCAATAACCAGGATTCTCTCTCTGTCTCTCTATCTCTCGCTATCTCTCATGTGTGTGTGTGTGTGTGTTTGTATGTGTATATATATATATATATATATATATATATATATATATATATATATATATATATATATATATATACATTATATATACATATATATATATATATATATATATATATATATATATGTATATATATATATATATATACATATATATATATATATATATATATTATATATATATATATATTAGAACAAACGAACGAAAGACAGAAATAAATAAAAAGAATGAAAGCAAGAACCATCAAGAGCACGAATAAAAAAGAAAAGAGAAAGAGATCATGATACATAGAACGTGGCGAAGTATTGTTCAGTCCAAGTCGTAATTTTGTTCATCTTTGGGTACAACCATTCCGTGCCACGTAAACCTAATTCATGCATCATAACAAACAAGAAACAAACAGTAAAAACGTTTTGCTGCAATGTGTATATGTCTGCGTGTGTGTGTGTGTGTGTGTGTGTGTGTGTGTATGTGTGTGTGTGTGTGTGTGTGTGTGTGTGTTTTGTGTGTGTTTGTGTATTTGTGTGTGTGTGTGTTGTGTGTGTGTGTGTGTGTTTGTGTATTTTGTGTGTGTGTGTGTGTTTATTGTGTGTGTGCGTGTGTTTGCGTGTGTGTATGTGTGTGCGTATGGGGGGGGTTATGAGTGTGCGTGCATGTGAGTGTATGTGTGCATGTGTGTGTGTGCGTGCATGTGTGTGTATGTGAGTGTGTATGTGTGTGTGTGTTCTCCGCATCATATTATGTTGGTACAATGGCCTATTATCAAATGTATTTATGATTTATTATACAAAAATGTCACATATATAGAGAGAGAGAGATCAACCAAGTCATTTAGTTCTTATAATTTTTTCTACATAGAGAGAAATTACTATAGAAAAATTACCCACGAATCGTATCACAAAATACCTCAAAATTCCCGAATTCAAAATATAAAAGCGCACGATAAAAAAAATAAAACCCCGAAAAAAAAATATATATAATTCTCACGCCATAATCTTTTCTGGAGGAACAATACACAGGACGGAGAATTAATAACAATGGAACGAGTTGTAATTCAACCTTGTCGAAATCTGAACGCTGTGATTGGCGCTTCCTAATCTGCAGTGTTATTGTTCTTCGAAAAATATAGAATGAAGAGAAAAAAATATATAGAGAGAGAAAAGGAAGACGAAAGAAAAGAGAGAAAAAAATGGGGAGGGGGGGATTTATCAAGGGATTTCATTCAGACGTGAAAGTAGCGTGACTTTGATGCTTGAAGTATAAAAAGACATGCAATCTCCCCCTTCTCCTCCTCTTCCCCCCCTTCCTGTCTCTCCCCTCCCTTCTCCCTGTCCCTCTCCTTCCCCTCTTCGTCCCCTCCCCTTCACTTGTCGACTCCCCTACCCCTCCACTCCTCATCCCTCCCTCCCTCCCCTCCCTTCCCTTCTCCCTGTCCGCTCTTCTCCCCCTCCCCTTCACTCCTCTCCACTCTCTACTCCCTGCTCTTCCCTCCCTTCTCCCTCTCTCTACTCCCTTTCTCCCCCTCCTCTCCTTCCCTTCTTCGTCTTCCTCCCTCCCCTTCCCCTCCACTCCTCTTCTCCTGCTCCTCCCCTCCCTTCTCTCTGTCTCTCTATTCCCTTTCCCCTCCCTCTCCTTCCCCTCTTCGTCCCTCCTCTACCCTTCTACTTCTCTTGTCCTGACCTCCCCTCCCTTCTCCCTGTCTCTCTATTCCCTTCTCCCTTCCCTCTCCTTCCCCTGTTCCTCTCCCCCTTCACCCTCTCCCTCCATTCCCATATTCTTTCCTTCCCTTCTCCTGTTCCTCTCTTCCCATTCACCAACATCCCTCTTGATGAAATGAGAAAGATGAGAGAAGGAGGAGCGAGAGATAGAGAAGAAGAGGGATGAGGAGAGAGGGAGAGATAAAGAAAGAGAAAGATGGAGAAAGAGAGAGATGATAAAAAAAAAAAAAAAAAAAAGCATAAGAGCAAGCAAATGCGCAAATCTATCTATCTGTCCTTTTATCTATCCTCCATTATACATATATACACATAAACATACACACAAGATGTATGTATGTATTCCTATGAATGTATACATCTTATCCTCTTCCTTTCGCTATGTATCGTATCTAAATTAATATCTTGCCGACAACACATGATATCAAGAAAG